TATCATCGGACATTCACTTCTTCAGGTTGGGCATGTGGAAGGTGGGGTGTATATTACCGAGTTTCTTGTGGTAGTCGAAGTTTGTAAGCTACCGGGCCGATTCTAGCAAGGATCTCGAATGGCCCGATATACCTTGGGTTTAGCTTTCCATGTTTGACAAAACATATCATTCCCTTCCATGGTGAGACCTTCAACAGAACGCGGTCACCAACCTGGAACTATAAGGGATTTCGTCGCTTATCACCATAGTTCTTTTTCCGATCCTGGGATGCCTTTAATCGTTCACGGATCTGAACGATCTTCTCCGTAGTTTCTTGTATGATCTCCGGGCCCGGTGAGGGTGCTATTAGGCACTTGTCCTCTTGCTAGCTGCGTGTCACCCACTTCAGCCCAACATATAGGTGATCTGCACTTGCGCCCATAGAGAGCTTCAAATGGCGCGACCTTGATGCTAGTGTGATAGCTATTACTGTAAGAGAACTCGATGAGCGGTAAATGGGTATTCCAGGGTTTACCAAAGTCTATCACACAAGCTCTCAACATGTCTTCCATCGTCTGAATGGTTCTCTCACTTTGCCCATCAGTTTGAGGGTGATAGGCTGTACTCATGTCGAATTTGGTCCCCAAGGACTTCTGTAGTGACTTCTAGAACCGTGAGGTGAACCTACTATCCCGGTCGGAGATGATGGATATTGGCACACCATGTAGTTGCACGATTTCTTTAATGTACGTCCTTGTTAGCTTTTCCATCTTGTCGCTCTCTTTTATTGGTAGGAAGTGTGTGGATTTGTTTAACCTGTCAACGATCACGCAGATGGTGTCCAGTCCACCCGTCGTCTTAGGCAACTTGGTTCTGAAGTCCATGGTTATCCGCTCCCACTTCCACTCGGGTATGTCCGGTTGCTGAAGCAAACTCGAGGGCTTTTGATATTCTACCTTAACCTTGGCGCAAGTCAGGAACTTGCCCATATATGTAGCGATCTCTGCCTTCATGTTTGGCCACCAATAAAATTTCTTGAGGTCCAGATACATATTGTCTGAACCGGGGATGAACATATTATTTTGTCTTGTGAGCCTCTTTCATGATAACGTCTTTGTACCCGCTGAATTTCGGCATCAATATTCGATTCATGAGATAATAAGTTACGTCATCCTTAACTTCAAGGTTTTTATCCATTCCCCGTAAGGCCTCTCCTGCGACGTTCTCAGGTTTCAAGGCTTCTAGTTGCGCCTCCTTGATCTGAGCAGACAGATGTGAATGAAGGGTCCAGTTAATGGTTTGGTCTAGGCTTTCATTGTATTTTGTTCAGTAGGAGTCTGTAATACAGTTCGTGAGTTGTTTATGTGTCTTTGGTCAGAAAATGTGTTTGCGACCGTAAACGGAGTTTACGGCCGTAAACCCAGTTTACGGTCGTAAACCCTGTTTGTGGTCCTGTCTAGTATAAATAGCAGAGGTGTAGGTCATTGTGCAGTTGTTGATGCCATTGCGTTTACAGAGTGTTCCATCGAGTTGTACCTGACGTTTTTCTGAATATAAACGTGTGCAAGCTCGATTTCTTTTCTTCTTATTCTTCTATCTGTGATTGTTTGTTGCTTGATCATTGGTAAAGATCCTTTTCAGGACCTTACAATTGGTATCAAGCAAAAACCGGTGTCAAAGCTTCATTCAATCGAGATTTGGGGTGCCTAAACTGATATTCTTATTGTTCGAAGATTGGTTTTAGTGTTTTAGTGGTTAAAGGAACTGAATCTACTGCAAAAACGTGTTTTTGAAGGCTTTCTAGGAGTTTACTGCCAACCGTAAACCCTTTTTACGGTTGTAAACTCAAGATCTTCAACAACCGTAAACTGTGAATCTTCAAAAACCGTAAACCAAGCTTCATTAACCGTAAACGTACAAACCGTAAACTCATCAACCGTAAACGTAGTTTATGGTCGTAAACAGCTCAACCGTAAACCCAGTTTACGGTCGTAATCACTTAAACCGTAAACCAAGTTTACGGTCGTAAACTCTTCAACCGTAAACCCAGTTTACGGTCGTAATCATCATCAACCTTAAACTCTTTTGTGACTTCAATCTGCTTTAATTTTAAATGGAATCTCAAAGTCAAAATCATTTTCACGAACTTGATACTGTCATGGGCACTACTACGCGTATTCCAAGATTAATGTCTGCAGATGGTTTTCCTGAGTGGAAGTACAGAATTGAAAAATACATTAAAATGAAGGATTTCAAAGTCTGGAGAAGCATTCTTAGAGGCCCTGTTAGAATCACTATGACAGTCGGAGGCCAAGTGATTGACAAGGCTGTTGAAAACTACACTGATGAGGAGTTTGAGAAAGTTGAAGAGCAGGAAAGGGCTTTAGCCACTCTAACCATGGCATTATCTCCTGATATTGCTCAAGGGTTCCGAGAGTACACTTCAGCTAAAGATTTGTGGGAAGCCCTAATTGAGGTATATGAGGGCAATGAAGATATGAAGGAGAGTCGCCAGGACATGTTGAGACAAAAGTTCAATATGTTCAACTACATTCCAGGAGAGACTCTTGAGGCTCAGCTGCAGCGGTTCACAACTCTCACCACTGACATGAACATATCTGGGATTTTCTTGAACAAGTCAGAGATTAACAAGAAGCTTCTAAATGCTCTTCCTAGATCATGGGATATGAATGTTGCTGTGATTAAGAAGACCAAGGATCTAAACCGCCTTACTCTTGCTGAAATCATGGCGATCATCAAAGCTTGTGATATTGATGACAAACAGAGAGAAATTAACCATGTGAACTCGTACTCTACTGCGAATCTTGGAATCTCATCCAACAATGCTCTCTCATCAATCATGACTTCCTCAGGCAAGTGTTTGCTGCTCAACAACCTCAGATTCAAACCTTTGCTGCTGCATCATCCATTCCACAAAGTCAGCCATTTATCACTCCACAAGTTGTTCCCTCTCCAAATGTGCCTGTTGTAGCCTCTTCCTCAAACACTAAAGACACTGATGAAAATCTGGCTCTAGCCACTGGGCTTGTTAACTGCTACAATGCCTTTGTAGCTGGAGAGCTTCCACCTCAGCTGTCATTTGCCGACCTGGATCAGATTCATCCTGAAGATGTGGAAGAGATGGACATTACATGGCAGATTGCTATGGCTGTTTTCAGGGCCAAGCAGTTTGCTAAGAAGACAGGGAAGAGCAACTGGGGCATGAATGCTGACAAGAAGGTGGGATTCAACAAGGGCATGCTGCGATGTTTCAACTGCCACGAGCCGGGTCATTTTGCTCGTGAGTGTCCAAAACCAGATCGTAGGACGAACAACAACAGGACGATGGTTGCAGTGGGAAACAACCGTGCAGGTGGTGCAGTTAATGGTGAAACTGCTATGGTCGCTCAGTCTTTTGACTGGGAGGACCAGATTCAGGCTTTGAATATCTCAGGGCCAGAAAATGCTCACCTAGCTCAGATTGATGATGCTTCCTTGAAGAATGATGCAGCTGATCCCGAAGCAGAAATGATGGAGCTGCAGTTTGCTCTAATGGTGTCTTCTACTTCCGAGCCCAGGAAAAGTGAGGTAAATCTACCGTCTTGTTCTCAGGCTTGTAATGAATATGTTAAACTTCTTCATGATGAAATTCAATTATTACGTAGAGAAGTAGAGGACCTTAGATATGAGGGCTATCAGCTTAGGAAAGGACAGAAACCCCTTAAGGCCCAGTTAGAGACAAAAATAAAGGACTTTAAGAGAATTCAAACAGAATACAGTGAAAAGTGTGAGCTTTATGATTATGTTAAAGACAAAATGATGCGCTAATTACCGAGCTTGATACATTAAAAAGACAATTTGAAACTGCAAATTTTGATTTTAGAAAATTTGATGGATCAAGCGAGGTAGTTGCCAACATGATTGATCACTGCATGCAGTTCAAACGAAATCAGTCAAAGGGTTTAGGATATGATAGTGTACCTCCTCCTTATAATCATACATATCAGTATCAACCCCTATCCAAGGATGAGATTGCCAATGAACCGTTTATGGTTTATGGCAAGCCATCTGGTTTCGTTTCAGGAGGATTTATTAATGTTGAAAGTACTGACATTTCTACTTCCCCTGCAGATCAACCATTAGATCAGGCAAAGCTTGCAGCTGGAGAATCTGTTTCTGTTTTCTAATTCTGATATTTCTGTTTCAAATGAAAATGTTTGTGGTTCTGATGTTAAGACTGATAATGTTTCATGTGATGTTTCCACATCTGCTACTGTTGAACTTAATTTCTTTGATATGTTTGATGAATTGTTTGGTAATTCTGATGCTTGTGATTCTCATGAAAACCCATCAATTCCACAAGTCACACCATCTGAGGCACCCTCACTTATCTCACAACCTATTTCTCATGCATGTTCTTCTGAGAAGAGTAAGAGTGTCTGTCAAGAAAATAAATCTGAGAAATGTAGTACAAGTTCAAATAATAAACAGATTTGTTTTAATTGTGGTGTTGGTGGTCATATAGCTAGGAATTGTCAAAATAGGATCTTTGTGAACTATCTGTCACCAAGAGGAGAGAACGAATCTCGAGGAAGGTCTTTAATTAGAAAATCCTCAAGAACTCGTTCTCGAAATGATGATTGGAAAGATGATCGAAGCAGAAAAAGGGCTGTTTTTCAAAAGAATAAAAAGGTTTTTACTAACAAAGCTCAAAATAGTTTGCCAAAACCGAACAAGGCTCCGCCAAGATCGGTTTCGTCAAAAAGCAATTCTGGATCTTCAACCACTTCGGTAGAACATCCAGAGGCTCTGTGCAAACTCATAAGAAACCTATTTCAAAACCACCTGAGAATGTTGTAAAACCTAAATATCATTGGATGCCCAAATCAATTTCCAATCCATCATCTCCATCCTCTGAAGTGATTAGGAACGAGGATCCTAATTTGAAATCTTTAAAAGATAAATCAGAGAAAGCGAAAAGGAAACCCAGGACAGTGATGACCTGGGTTCCCAAATCTAAATGATCCCGCTCATTTTGCAGGGACAGTTGCGGAGGAATGTCGTCCGTCCTTGGTACGTCGACAGCGGCTGCTCCCGGCATATGACTGGAGACATCTCCCAATTGAGCGACATTCAATCTTTTAATGGGGGGTATGTTTCCTTCGCGGGCGGAGATGGTGGCAAGATCACTCAAAGAGGAACTGTTACAAATGGAGTGCTAAGCTTTGAGAATGTCAACTTTGCTCCCGAGTTAAAGCACAGCTTGTTGAGTGTTTCCCAAATTTGCGACAAAGGCTATTCTACCCATTTTACCGATAAAGAATGCATGATTCTCAAGCCAGGCATTGTCATCCCGGAAGAGTGGATTCTCGTCAAATCTAAGCGGGATGGGAATGCTTACATTATTGACATGAACAGCAACATCCCTGAACAAGTCACTTGCCTATTTTCAAAAGTCTCCGAACAAAACGCAATGCTGTGGCACCGACGACTCGGTCATGCTAACGCGAAAAACCTGAATCGCCTTGCTAAGAATGAGATGGTCCGAGGCTTACCTGTCAGAGACTTTATTACATTTGAGAAGTGTGTGTCCTGTGCCCAAGGAAAGCATCATAGAAAACCACACCTGCCCAAGCAAGTCAACTCAATCAGTCAGGTGCTCCAACTATTGCATATGGACTTATTTGGTCCGGTCAACGTCCTGAGCATCAACAGAAGCTCGTACTGTCTAGTTGTGATCGATGATTTCTCTCGTTTTACGTGGGTCTTTTTCTTATCCAACAAAGCGGGGGTTGCTGATCTGATAAAGAAGTTCATTGTGATGATTGAGAAACAAACCAACAACCAGGTGAAGGCGCTTCGTACTGACAATGGAACTGAGTTCAAGAATGCGGTTCTTGACCATTTTTGCGCAGAAAAGGGGATCGTGCGTCAATACAGCTCTGCTCACACGCCTCAACAAAATGGCGTTGCTGAAAGGAGAAATAGAACTTTAAAAGACGCTGCAAGGACAATGCTTTGTGATTCAAAATTACCTGTTTTCTTTTGGGCCGAGGCGATTAACACTGCTTGCTACGTGCAGAATCGTGTTCTAATCAACAAAGCACAGATGAAGACACCGTACGAGATTCTCTATGGACACAAGCCTTCAGTCAGCCATTTCCGTGTATTTGGCTGCCCTTGCACCCTTCTTCACTTGGAATCCAACCCTAAATTCAATGCCAAAGCCGATGATTGTTACTTTATAGGATATGCTGCGCGCACCGCGTATAGGGTTTACAACAAGAAGACTAAGCAGATTGTTGAATCCTATGACGTGCGCTGGTTGGAGGAGAATGAAACAGACGCTCGAGTGGGTCCTGACTGGTTATTTGATTACACATCGCTTTTCAAATCCTTAAATGTGTCTTCAGATGGCTCAAATGGATCCTCTTCTGGTTCGAAGATTGTTTCTGAAGACGAAGACGAAGAAGTTGTTTACAGACCTCCAACGGTTGAGGGGGAGTCCTCTGCTCCATCTGAGGGGGAGTCCTCTGCTCCACCTGAGGGGGAGTCATCTGACCAACCTGATAGTCCAGAGTCTAAAGTTCAAGATGGAACTCCTGATGCTGATGCTACACCTCTTACCCCTATTGAAAGAGAGTTCATGTCTAGAGATGCTTCCGCTGTCAATCCAACTTTTATGGAACTACTCTTTCCTGAAGAAATTGCTAATGAGTTTGTAGCAGATCCATCCAATGTGGATCAATCAGCAAATGATGGAGGTTTCAACATTCACACTCTTCCTGTTTCACTCAATGATATCAGCCAAGACATTCCTTCAAGAATTCAACGCGATCATCCGATCGATAACGTCATTGGCCAGCTGGGTGACGGAGTTAAAACCAGAAGTCAGAGTGGAGATGTCAATGCATGTCTCTATTCTTGCTTTATATCTCAAATAGAGCCCAAGAACGTTGACATGGCTTTGAATGAGCCCAGCTGGGTAGATGCGATGCATGAAGAGCTAAATCAGTTTGAAAAGCTCGGGGTTTGGAAGTTGGTTGAGTTACCGAAGGGCAAAAGGTCTCTTGACACGCGTTGGGTCTATCGTAACAAGCAAGACGATTCTGGTGTAATAGTGCGCAATAAAGCAAGGTTGGTGGTTCGCGGGTTTCGACAAGTTGAGGGTCTTGACTATACTGAGGTTTATGCTCCCGTGGCTCGATTGGAGGCTATTCGTATCTTTCTCGCATATGCTTCCTACATGAACTTCACGGTCTACCAAATGGATGTCAAGACTGCCTTCTTGTATGGCAAGGTGAAGGAAGAAATTTATGTTGATCAACCCCCTGGGTTCGTTAACTCCAAGTTTCCTAATCATGTCTACAAGTTGGACAAGGCATTGTATGGGTTACATCAAGCTCCTCGAGCATGGTATGCGACTCTAACAAAGCATTTGCTCGAGCATGGATACTCTCGCGGCACTATTGATCAAACTTTATTCATCAAGCATGTTGGTAATGATCAGATACTAGTCCAGATCTACGTTGACGACATTATCTTCGGGTCTACCAGTCCACAGCTTTGCAAAGAGTTTGAAGGCGTGATGAAAAAGCGGTTTGAGATGAGTTCACTGGGTGAAATGACCATGTTTCTGGGGCTTCAGGTCAAACAAAATTCAACCGGAATCCTGCTACATCAAGCTAAGTATGTGGAGGATATTCTTGAGAAGTTCGGGTTTCAAGACGCGAAACCTGCATCGACACCAATGGCTGAAAGACCCCTGCTGAATCCAGATATTGATGGCGAATCCGTAGATCAGACACACTACAGATCGATGATCGGATCGTTGATGTATCTTACTGCAAGTCGTCCCGACATCATGTTTGCAGTTTGTCAATGTGCTCGCTATCAGGCTAATCCTAAACTCTCTCATCTTATTGCTGTCAAAAGAATTTTTCGGTATATCAAAGGCAGCCCAAAATTGGGTCTTTGGTATCCGAAAAATTCTGAATTTGATTTATATGCTTTTGCTGACAGTAATTATGGAGGCTGTGAGCTTGACAGGAAATCAACATCAGGAGGGTGCCAATTCCTTGGCGATAGGCTGGTGTCGTGGCAGTGCAAGAAACAGCATACCGTCTCTACCTCAACAGCAGAAGCGGAATACGTTGCTGCATCTGCCTGCTGTTCTCAAGTTATCTGGATCCAACATCAGCTGTTGGACTACGGTTTGAATTATCTAGAAACCCCAATTCACTGTGATAATGAGGCCGCAATTCAAATAACTAAAAATCCTGTCCAACACTCCAAAACCAAGCACATTGATATCAAAATTCACTTTATCAGAGATTGTTATGAGCGCTCGCTCATTAGGCTAGAACAGGTTCCCACTGCCAATAATGTGGCGGATCTGTTCACCAAGCCTTTTAACAAAGCTCGATTCGATGTGCTTGTGGGATTTTTAAAAATGATTCGTTTTGAGGATTAAATTTTTGTTATTCATTAGGTTAGTTTAAATTTGCGCATTTTAGTGTTTTCATTCTCACCCATGCACAAATTTAGGGGGAGAAATAAACAAAAACCAAACAAAAATTAAAAATTAAAAAAATCCAAAAACATCTTGTTTCTGTTTTATTTTTTTCAGAAAACATTCAAAAATCCAAAAACATTAAAAATTCAGAAAAATCAAAAATATTGTCGCTTTCAGTTTTGCTTGTTGATATAGTACTGGGAAGTGATATTATCAAGTGATAACAGGCAATCTGAGTCTGCGTAACGTACCCAAAGTTGAAGGGTCTATGCTCTGGGTTTGATGCGTTGGTAGGCACGAAAGATTCTAAATGGACATGACTAGGCAGAGTTGAACTTAAGGAATTCATAGACTTGACAAATCTTGACCTAGTTAGATCCGTTTAGCCTGACAATACGACGCTTGGATAGGTTGAGCAGGGAGATATATATGGGAATCTACTGGTCACATTAAAGAACCTGTACTTGGAACCGTGGATTAACTTTTCCTCGATGTGCGGATTTTGTCCTTAATTCCGGTATTGATGGGGTGACTGGTGAATTCCGATGAATTAGGTCTGTAGAAAATTGTTTTCTTTCTCTATCTGTCTGTTAGTCATATGTTACCTCCTCTGCGTGACTCAAAATCCGACCTGGACTGTAACATATGCAATTCTATTTCTCTGCATCTTCTATCTATGCAATTCTTTCTATCTGTTAGCCATATACTGTCTCCTTTGCGTGACTCACAATCCGACCTGGTACACAGTATATGCACCATTCTACTTCTCAATCCCTCTAAAACTTCAGTTAGTCATATGTTCCACCCTCTGCGTGATTGGAAGAGATCCGACCTGGGTGTATAGCATATGCATTCTAAATCTATCTTCTCTCTTAATGATTGTCTGCTCACCCGATGTAAGGAGTATTCTGGAAGTCCTTGATTACTGGAGCATATCAGGAAGCGGGAAACATGTTCCAGTACAATTAAAATTGAACACTCACAGATTGTCTATAGATCTCGCTGCTAAATTTAGGTGGACAACAATATCCCTGGTCGTCGTCAGCTGAATGGTCCTTAAGATATAGTATCTAGGAACTTAGGATCACTTTGTCTTATAATTAATAGTATGTCCTAATTTTGTCACAATTTTTCGTGTTTAAGTGGACCACAATACCGGCGATCAACCAGACAAAGACGTGAAGATAGACGGTACCGACAAGTGGAGTAAGGCTGTCTAACAACTTTGATCCCAGTGTCACAAGATAATTTTCAGTGAATTTTGAGATAAATTTTGTCTGTGTTTATTCTAATTTTATTTTAATTTTTATTTTATTTTTATTTTATTTTTATAATTGTCAAAATTTAATTTTTAAATCTTTTAATTCTTAAATTTTAGAAATTAGTTTATTTTATTTTTAGTTTAATTTTAATTTTACTTTTATTTTAATATCCTCAAAAAGTTTTATTTTTGAAAATTTAATCGGGATTTGGACTGTGCATAATACTGTGTGGGAGACAGATAAACTCTAAGGAGGTATAAAAGGTGGGTTTACTGCTGTAAACCCTTTTCACCTTCCTTTTCTCCTTGCGGCCGCAAACTCTTTCTCTCTCTACTCTCTCTCATCCTCGAAATTTTCTGTGAGATTTTGCGAAATCAGTAAGTTCACTTCGAAGGTATGCTAAAACCGACTGGGGAAAAACTATTGGTTCATCGATTCGACTGAAACTGGAGGATTAATCGTCGTTTATGTGTTCGTCGGCGTTTACGGTTTGGGGAGGGTTTACGGTTTGGGGAGATTCAAGAACCGTAAACTCCTTTTGGGCTTACGACCGTAAACTCCTCTGAGTTTACGACCGTAAACTGGTCAGGTAACCATTGCAATGGGTTTACGGCCGTAAACCCACTTTGGACCGTAAACTCTTGTTTGACCAATATTGACCGTAAACTCAAATTTTTTTGATCAAAATAAATTTTTTTTAAGGCCAAAATAAAATTTTTTAATTAAGAAAACTTAAAGCTTTAATTGTTTAAATACTTTGTTTTCTTACTTGGCCTGGTTTAGTGCAGATCAATGGCGAGTCTTAAGTTTGCTGACATGCATAACCTGGCAATTGTGTTGGATGAACCTCCTGTTGCTCATGGAGATTTCAGATCAATGATCTACAGACTAAGAGAATGCTGCCTGGCTTGTGCCATCACTGTGAATCCAATCATTTATCAGAACATTGTCAGGGAGTTCTGGCAGACGGCCAAGATGTCAAAAGACAATGGTGCGTTCGCTGTTAAAGCTGTGGTTAAAGGATGCAAGATCATAATCACTGAGCAGTATATCAGAGAAACATTGCTGATCAATGATCAACCCGATTTTCCTACTGAAATTGGGATTGATGATGTTCAAAAGGTTCTCAAAAGGATGGGATATGAGGGCATCTACCCTCCCACGGTGAAGAAGCTTTTGCCTCCCTACTGGAGATTTTTGGCGCATGTGTTCGTGAGCTGTATCTCGGGAAGGAGATCAGGAGCTGATGAAATCTCTCTCAGGAACACAGGGGCAATCGTTTCACTGGCTGCTGGCATCAAATTCAACTTCTCGAAGTTCATTTTGGATGAGTTCTTGGTAAATATCAACGCTATAAGCCGGCAGACCAGAGATGCATTCTTGCTATATCCGAGATTTATTCAGATGTTCATCGACAACCAATTCCCAGAGATGATCAAAGATGGTGACAAGCTGGATATAAAGTCATTAGGCCCACACACGATTGGTCTCATCAAGCAGAATCGAAAGGGCAAAGTCGTCTTCCAAGGCTTACATCCTCTCGTGAAATTCGGAAAATTTGCTGAAATAGATGAATCTTCCGAATCTCATGGAACGTCTGACAAGATGTCTTCTGAGCCCACTTCCTCCGAGAGAGTTGTTTCTGAAGATGTCATCACAGTTTCAGATCATGATGAAGAAGAAACTCCAGCTGCTAATGCTCAAGTAGCTGAGGAACACGAATTGACATCTGTTCAGGTACAAGGAGATTACAATGAGGGGTCTGGAACGGAGACTGATTTGTACGAAGGCCTCGACCTCACAGGATTCGATAACGATGAAATTCCTCTCAACTTCGGTAGCAATGAAGATTTCATGACCGGCGTAAACCTCAACACACTGCTTGAAAATATCAATGAAGTTGCTCATCCAGCAACGGAGATAAGGGAAAAAGAAGACGTTCTCGAAGCCACGCCTCCTCCTTCCAATCCAACGGCGGAAATAGCAATTCCTATGGTGACAGTATCAGGGATTCCTCCCCTTGATGTTGTTTTACCTACATCTGAGCCATTGGAAAGTGATCACCCAACTACACAGGCCTCTCAACCTCCAACAAAAAGACGAAGACTTGACCCTAGACAGGGAATTCTTGACTCGGGTACACTTCAACGTTTTATAGCTCCACCAACAACAACTCCTGTTATCGTTTCATCTTAACCTTTCAGTGAAGGTCCTAGTACCTTCTATGAAGCTGGTGGCTCTTCCTTCCCCACGGATTTCTCTCCTCCCAGGCCAGAGCATGATGCTGCCTCGGTTAAGTTAGCCAGGCTTTTGGCCAGAGAACAACTCACAACGCCTCCCTCACATGGCAAATGAATTTCTATTGGGGGTGGCAGCTCAGGAGAAGAGAATCCTTCACTTCTTGGACTCCAGAAAGAGATCGATGCTCTGAATCAGAAAAATGTTGATTTAGATCAGAGAAATATTGAGCTGGATATCAAGGTCGCAGACCTTTAGACTGAGAATACAAAGCTCAATATTCAAGTGGCCGAACTTATAGAAAACAAAGCTCTGAAGTCGAAGCAAATTACTGACCTTCAGACGTATTTCGGCCTGTTGACCGCCAGCTACTACGATCTTAAGAAGAAGCTGGAAGAAAACTTTGGCGACAAATTCAAGTCATCTGTTGACGAGCCAAAGATCTATCTTCCTGATCAAGATACTCCCATAGTTCCACAACCTACAAGGACGACCCCCGTCGTTAATCGTTTTGAGAAAGAACCGGCTCAGGCTCCAAGTGTAATGGCATTAAAACGTGCTAAATTGGCCAAGTCAGTTGAAAAGGGTCAACTTCTATTCAAAAGGAGCGCATATCATAATGCCCCCTGGGATCAACCACATATCACCGTTACGGATCTGGGCGAACATCGTTTCAGAGACGTTTATGGTGATAGGTCAGGAATCATCTCGTGGGGATTCCATGACACTATGAATATGTTTATGGTGAGAAGAAAGAGCGGCAATACTGAATTGTACAAAGATGCTCACGATTTTCATTCCTTTACTAGGATTGATCTTACGGAGCTGTCTAAAGCTCCTTTCTCAAATCCATCAAACAATCCTAGGGCGACTCAGTTCAAATCTTGTTTGGAAGATCAAGTAGCTAAGGGCTTCCCTTCGATGAAGACTGCTGAGTCTATAATCAAGGTTTACTCTAACTTCATTGATCCCAAAACAAGTCATCCCCTTTGGTTAGTAATGTGGCCCACTACTGCTCAAGTTAAGCAGATTCCCGTTCTTCAAAATTATCCAGATGGATCTCTCGCATCTATGCTATATTGGGTGTATGATGACTCCACAGCTGCTGCTGTCATCAAGCTTAAAGACGATTGTATCCGCTTGTATGACAAGAGGGATTTGCTTCAATTTGGTAAGTGGGATATACATCAGCTCTCCGTTCATCAGATCGTGGTGGCTGAAGAACTTTTTGAGTCCGCTGCAAAGGATTACACTTCGATGGTTGCTGAGATTATCGAGAAAGAGATGTGGAACGGAGCTATGGGAAAATTTGATGTGCTGGTGGTCGAAAAAAGCTAAGTCCAAGCTAGCACCAAACCAAAAGGGGAGATTGAAGGGTCCAGTTAATGGTTTGGTCTAGGCTTTCATTGTATTTTGTTCAGTAGGAGTATGTAATACAGTTTGTGAGTTGTTTATGTG